GAACAGCATAGTTGTCAGAGTTTATATCAAAAAGCGAATCAATTTATTGTTCAACATTTTAGTCAAATATGTCAGGAAGAGGAGTTTCTGCAATTATCTGCAATACAGTTGGTTGCCCTGGTGAGAAAGGATGAGCTGAATGTACAAGAAGAGAGAGAAGTGTACAATGCTGTGTTGAAGTGGGTAAAGTATAACGAAGAAGCAAGAGGAGCTAAGATGGAACATATACTGCATGCAGTAAGGTGTCAGTACCTCACTCCAAACTTTCTGCGGGATCAAATGAAAAACTGTGATGTATTAAAAAAAGTACCTGCATGTCGGGAATACCTCGCACAAATATTTAAGGACTTGACCCTACACAAGAAACCAATAGTGAAAGAGAGAACTCCTAATACACGGAGAGTAATATATATCGCTGGCGGTTTCTTAAAGCATTCATTGGATGTTTTGGAAGGGTACAATGCAGATGACAAAACTTGGACCCAACATGCGAAGCTAGTTATTCCTAGATCTGGTTTAGGTGGAGCATTTTTGAAAGGCATGTTTTATGCTGTTGGTGGCAGGAACAACTCGCCAGAGAGTAGGTAAGCACATTGAAAGGAAGAGTAACAGAAGACTGAACTTAAAGTTAAAGATTTTTTATTCGATTCGCAGGTACGACAGTGATTGGGTGGACAGATACAATCCAGTTACAGATCAGTGGAGAGCTTGTAGCCCAATGTCTGTACCAAGAAACCGTGTAGGAGTAGCTGTGATGGATGGTTTGTTATATGCTGTAGGAGGTAGTGCAGGTGCAGAATATCACAGTAGTGTAGAGTGTTATGATCCAGACTTGGATACATGGAACAATGTAAAACCAATGCACATAAAAAGATTGGGAGTTGGAGTAGCAATGGTTAATAGGTAAAAATACCAAATGGACTGAAGATTTCGTGAATTTATAGCATAGACTAGGGTTCAGAAGGCAATGAAATAAACGATTTAATTGCATTACTTTCATAAACGTTAATACCAACAGATTACTCTATGCGATCGGTGGTTTTGATGGAACAAATCGACTTAACTCTGTGGAATGTTATCATCCTGAAAACGATGAATGGACGATGGTTTCACCGATGAAATGTAGCCGTTCAGGAGCTGGAGTAGCTAGTCTCGGTCAGTATATATACGTTGTAGGAGGATACGATGGAACTAGGCAATTAAATTCTGTTGAGAGATACGACACAGAGAAAGATGTATGGGAATTTGTTAGTAACGTTACTATCGCTCGTAGTGCGCTTAGCGTTACCGTACTAGATGGAAAATTATATGCAATGGGTAAGAAGCATTAAACCTGTCCAAACAATGTCAAGCTGCATTTAACTTTGTCCAAGTAGTTTATCCAGTAACACCTCTTTTAGGTGGATACGATGGAGAACTGTTTCTAAGTATTGTCGAAATATATGATCCTGCAAAAGATGTATGGGAGCAAGGAGAACCTATGACTTCAGGAAGATCAGGTCATGCTAGTGCAGTGTCTTATCACCAATGTCCTATACACTGTGATACATGTACTTTTTATATATCCAACGACACAAAAGAAATTGTTAGCCAAGAAGAAGACAAAGAAGACCCAAGTAAAAAGAATAAAAATATTAGATTAAAATTGTGAAGCAACAAAAGAATGAACTATTCCTTTGTTACCATAGACTGACTGTTTCCATTGAATCAAGTGAATCTAGTTCCTGAGGTCTGAAACACGATCTCACAGAATCTTTAAAGTCTAATTGTAAATTGTTACAACTATGATTTCATGCTTCAAAGGACCAATGATTAACTTCCATTGAAAAAATGAGATTTAGTACAATGTTTTCTCATGAAAATGCAAAGACCTAACGATGTAAATATATTTGTATAGCGTTGTTATTTTTGAGAAATTTTTATAGAATTTTCTTATTTCGATCATTGTATATTTGTAATATACCATTAAAATAATATTTGAAATATATGCATACTAAAACACTTTCAAAACATATGCAAGTTATTTCTACGTTATTTCCCCCAATAATTTCAAATAAATTACTATGCACAGTTATTGAATTAATTAAAATGTACGTGGGTGTCAAAAACAGGTTCTGTTGTCAAGATGGAACACATCAATCGATGTTTTCGAAAGTGGAAGAGTCCGGACGATTCTACGATCAAAATATTCTACTAAATTGTAATTACAAACGATTTGTTTACCTTCTAAACAAATAAAACGTTGTTGTTTATCATTCTCGAATGATATTTATACACACAACCCGGACGATATTATCCTCCACCTGTTATCAATATTTCCGTACCGTGGTTAGGTTATAATGTGAATTTGAAACGATCAGAGAAAACGTCAAAATGCGAAATTCTTTCACGGTTTTATCCACCGATTGTCTATCAACAAAAATTCGGTGGAGGATGTGAAATTTCAAGAGTACTACAATGAAATCCGTGTACAAATTGTTTTTCCTGTGCCTTATCTTCGTTGCCCTGATAATACTGCTCAATTTGACTAATTTTTCGAATAAAATCTACGATGGACAGACCAAAGAGGCTGCCGTTGTTTCAACCACTGCCAAAAAAGCAGCATCATCTCTTGCAACAGTGGAAGTGACAATATGTGTTGTAGTTTGTGGAGACAGATTGGATGAAGCGCTGACAATGCTAAAATCAGCTCTGGTTTTCACAAGCAGACATCTGCAGTTCATTGTTTTAGCTGAGAACAAACTAATCCCTGCATTCAATGAGAAACTAGCTGAATGGAAACAATTATTGAACAAAACTTTCAATTATACGGTGAAACCGATTACTTTTCCCAAAGGAAGCGATGCAGCTATGTGGAAGAAACTATTCAAACCTTGCGCAGCTCAAAGATTGTTTCTACCAGTAAGTATATTGAGAATTGTTTTAATTAGCTTTAATTGCAAGAATAAATCTTTTCACAGAACCAACATTTTTTATGTTACAGTTAGTTTTAAATGACACGGATGCTGTTCTCTATGTCGACACAGATACGTTATTTTTGGCTCCACCAGAAAAGATCTGGGACGAATTTAAAAAGATGAATTCGAGTCAGTTGGCAGCTTTGAGCCCGGAGCATGAAGATCCTAACACAGGATGGTACAACAGATTCGCGAAACATCCGTATTATGGAAAATTAGGTGTAAACTCGGGAGTGATGTTAATGAATTTGACAAGGATGCGAGAGTTTAGATGGATAGATTATGTAATACCTATCCATAAGGAATACAAACTGAAGATAACATGGGGAGATCAAGATATAATTAATATTATATTTCATTACCATCCAGAGAAACTTTACGTGTACTCTTGCAGATACAATTACAGGCCAGATCACTGCATGTACATGCCTGTTTGTACCAAGGCAGAAAAGGAAGGAGCTCTGGTATTACACGGATCTAGAGGAACATTTCATTCGCAAAAGCAACCACCGTTTAAAGCTATTTATAAAGCTATGCAAGAGTACCAACTGAACACAGACCCGTACGATTATTTATTGATGCCAATGCAAAACTACTTAGCTTTGGAACACAGGTCAAACTGTGGCAAAGTATGGAAAGTATTTATTATACAACCGGAACTACATTTAAGACAACAGTAATACTTAAATGTCTTCATCGATAAGAGCAATAATGCGTAGAACATAGCCATTCCGAATGAATATTTCTATCATTACCATCTAAGCATTTCTGAATTCCATGGCAATATTTAACATAGTAACGAGTAATATAAACGAAGACAATTTAGGATAAACAGTTCTACACATTAATGTAAATCCACTCAACAGACTGACCGTATTCAATAGTGCATTCTCATTTTATTTGTTAACAAGTGCGCTGTGATTGTTATTGTTTAACATATGTAATGCGTCCCATATGCCATTACACTTTTTATCTAAGATCTTCTGACAATACTCGTCCGATAGATTTAGAATATCGAATCTCGAAGTCTTCTTATACTTAGCAAGTATTATTCTATACAATTTAGATTACTTTTTGAACATATTTACCGTTGTTACGCGAAACACGATGTTCGGAATCTCAACAAAATTGTATATAAATTTTATTTGCACTTTGTACGCTAAACGTTTTATATGGGGTTGGGTATATAACTCATGGTACAACCAA